CCCAGGGCTTTCACACCAAGCTACATCTCGGTAATTTTTAATTTTTAATTTTGAAAGTCTTCCTACATTTTAATTTTATTTATTTACTTTTTATTTTAGGTCTTCCGAAGTTGCCCAGGCTGGGCTCAAACTTGAGATCCCCCTGTTTCAGCCTCCCAGAGTGCTGGGATTACAGGCATGTACTACCACACCCTGCTTCTTTTTTTCTTATTTAGGAACAAACTAGAATCATACTCATTCTTTTACAACCTTTTCTAAGTCAAGTCAGTACATACAATTCAGTGTTTTATACCAGATCCTCATCCTTTGGTTATTCAGTATCCCCCTGTCTGGACTGAGTGAGTATAGTCAGATGAATCCTATGACCATACTAACAGTGTGAGCTTGAGTAAATCACTTAACTGTCCTGTACCTTGGTTTCCCTACATGTGCTGTAAGGACCAAATAATATGTACCTGCTTCAAGTGATTTCTCAAATGTTCCTATTTGTGAAGCACTTAATAGTACCAAACACGTGGTAAATTCTCTAAATAAGAGCTCAGATTACCATAAGATATTTAACTAGGTTCCTATTGAAGATGTTTATGCTGCTTCCATTTTTGTGTGTGTGTGTTTGCATGTTTTGGCTACTTTAGAAACTTCCTAGATCTTGTGATTTGGGCATAGTGTCGCAGATCCCCAGTGCAATAGAGGAGCTTTAAGAAGGCGGCTGGATCCTGAGGGATCTACCTTCAGTGGGTTCATCCATTGATGGACCTGTAATCTGAGGGCATTGTTGGGAGGAGACAGAACCTTAGGGGATGGGACCTCATTGAAAAGGTCATGGGATGTGACCTTGGGGATTATATCTAGTGCCTCCCCCCACCCTGCACAGCTGCTGCCATGAAGTCAAACAATTTTCTTCCGCCATGCTCTTCTGCCTTGGTACAGGACTAAAAGCAGTAAAGCCAGCCAAACATGGGCTGAAATTTCTAAAACTGTGAGCCAAATAAACATTTCTTCTTCCTTTTTTAATAGCACAACATTTATCATTTAGGCTTACATAATGGTAACTCTCTTCATGGGGAATTTGCACCTATATATGGTACATCCTATCTGTTTTTTCCCGTGCCCACTCCGCTGGTGCCCCTCCCCTCCCTATGTACAAAAGCTTTGTTTCCATTTTTTCCTTCTACTTTCACTATTTTTCTTATCTCTCCTTCTCCTCCTTGTTCTCCTTCCCATGTGAATACTTTCTTCCCATTTCCCAGTATCTATTATACATTTTAGTCCTTATTCTCACACCAGAGAAACAATGCAGTATTTAAACATGTGAGTCTGATTTATTTCACTTATGAGTATGGTCTCAAGGTCCATCCATTTAGCTATAAATGTCTGAAGCTCATCCTTCTTTATGGCAGAGTAGTACTCCACTGTATTAAAAAAAAAACCCACATCTTCTTTATCCATTTTTCAGTTGATGGGCATTTGAGCTGTTTCCAAGATTTAGCTATTACAAACTGTGCTACTGTAAACATGGGTGTGCCTATATCGCTGTGGTATGGTGCTTTTAATTCTTTTGGGAAGAAACCAAGACTAGCTATATCAACTCTTAAGTGAAATAAATAGGACACACATGTGAAAATACCGAATAGTTTCTCTGGTGTGAGAAACTGAAAGTGTAAATAAGGACTAAATGTATAA